ATGGGGGTAAGTGATTAATGACAAAATTTTCATTTTGGGGTGGAGTAACCCTTTAAGGTGTTTTTGAAACCCTGCATAAGTCCAGCATCTACATCAGAAAGAATACAAACAAAATTAATTAAGGCTTATTGATGGGTTGAAAATAGTCTTTATAAGTGGAGTGCTGGTCTAAAGATTTTCTCCTGGGTTCATATAATCCTGCTGATTCTTTTGTATACCTGTGCCATTCATTAGGTGCTGCTTGGTAACCGCTCTTAATTATTATCATATAATAATCCACATGACCACCAATTAGTATCCACCAAATCAGTATAAAATGACTAAATAGACAAGGAATATGAAGAATATTTACAGCATATTTAAAATGTAGGTTAGCAGAACACACCTACAGCAGCCATAGACTTGTGTTTTTTTATGCCTACATGTTCCCATTTGCCCACTGTGAGTCCCTGCCAGTCTGAGCTTGCCCTTCCTTGATGTCACGTTGCTATGGTAAGATTGGTACGCTCCCTTCCTATTCAAAACATGCAGAAATTTCCTTCCCTCACCTGCTTTCTCTGCTGCATCTGATCTAAGGCAAAGAACTTAACAGACAGTTTCAGAAAAACAACGTGTCTGAATACATCACAGTTCTTGCATTATCTAAATGAAAGAGAATAGATCAGAAATGTAATCACAGATTGCTGGTGATATAAAACTAAGCACAATTGTTAATAAAACAATGATTTTAACGAGTCTTTTTATTTGGCCAGTAAGTGAGTTGAAAGGTTGAATCAATTTAGTGGATCAGACTACTGATTCAAAACTCCGATTCATTTGAGACTCTTTTAAGTCATTTTGGAGCAAACACATAAAAACTAAGCTATCAAATATAGTTGAAAGACTGAAAAATATTGAGATATCATTTTTAGCCAAACCACTCAGCCTCACTTAGGATGTGTGTGTGTCATCTATAAGATCTAAAGACAGGGACCAGATAATAAAGAACATCTAGAGTTTTATAGTCAGGTACATTTAATCGAAAAGTACACTGTGTGCGTTATATAATCCCCAAATGCACTCGCCAGAGGAGAGGCTGAATCGAACACAAAAAGCTTTCGGTGCTTTTATTTCCACACAGTGTACAGGTGGGGGTTGATTTGATATTAGAATAACACACCTGCAACTTTGTTTAGCTTGCAAATATACAGGCCAACCTGCAACCATGCAAATGGCTCCTGCATTTGCCCTACTAAACTCATGCATACTACATGACCAATCAAAACACATATCACGCTAATTTGTGCCATGTGAGTGCTTCGGAGATTAAGATATAACCTTATGTCCCAGAATACAAAGGTCGCAACTTCTTTTTTCTTCAGCTGAGGTCAGATTAGGACACTTGAGCTTTAATAAGAGCATGCAACTGCTGAGACTTAATACTGTAGTATAAAACAACAGCAAAATGATAATGCTGGCATGAAGCATTTCTCCAGGATACACTGCATAAAAATGCAGTGAAAGCTTTAATCGGTCTCTAAAAAATGAGAGCTATTAGCCAAGACATATCCAAGGTGATAATCGTGGACTGAGAAACCATAGCATAAAACTAAATGGCTGGTTCACTAACAAAAATGATAGTTCATCCAAAAATGAAAAATCTGATCATTTATTCACACTGAGTTGTGCTCAATGTGATTTTTTTCTTATTTTTGAGAGAACGACCCTACAATCATTTCTGCAGAACGGTGTACATAAATGCTAATGTAATAAACATGGGTGTCAATTACAGACCACACTAAAGTGAATGTACATCTATAGATCGTCATCCAGATAATCTATTTAAGAGAGTTTATGTTACAGCAGACTGAGGACTATAGTTACAGAAAACATCCTACCCTTGGTCCCATGGCCAGACAACTCAATGTAAGGGTTTTTTAACCTTTGATGCCAGTTGAGCTCTTAGCTGATGATGGATTAGTATGGGTGCATTATTGATATCAATTGATCTGATACAGAGCATTCCCAGACTTCCTCACGTCCCCAAAGAGAGATGGAGGAGCCAGATGATAGACCTCTGGGGCTTCAGAAGAGGAAACAGCCCTTCTAATAAATACAAGTGCACCCTGAGCAAAGCATGAGACAGCGCTGTAAAGCAATTGGAGTGAAAAGAGCAAAACATAAACTGACGATCCAGAGGCTGCAGCCAATTTATTGAGCCAGAGCTTCAGCCTTTCTGTGAAAACCGAATCAAATTATATTCCTGTGATGTTTTATGGTATCCCGTTTTCCTCTCGCTCTCAGTGGATTTCAAATGAATAGACTAAAAATGTGCAATTTCTTCAAATCTGATGTCAAGTGAATTCCAACCAGAACATCTAAAGCATCATTTCATTGCCGCTGATTTGATTTTATGTTTCGACTTCACAGCGATAAGGCAAATGATAGAGAAAATGCTTCAGTAAACAAGCAGACACAGAGTCAACTGTCTGAACTCGCTGTAAAGACCATGTCAACCCTGCATATTTATGATTTCAAACTAGCATCAAATTATGAGTGGAAATGAGGGGAGGCACAGCTGACTGACAGGAGCTGGGGGTGGAGGGACTCATTTCATGGTGTAAATACATTTGCCTGACTCTGTCAAGTTAGGTGACTCAGCCCATATCACGAAAGCTGAACACATAGTACTGCAGTGCCGTGTGCAGTGTGATGGATTTCAAAACCTTAAAATGTTCCGATTTTATGCAATGAACGTGTAAATGTCAACAGCAGAATGTAAGGATGCAGTGAGGGGGGAACTGAAACAGGAATGCAATGAAAATCTTTTTTCCCCATAGGACAGGCCCATTAATTGGCTGCTATTTGACAATTCTTACATTTTCAGCATCAGCCAACAATCTTGGAAAATGCACTTTTTTTTAAGTGATATTTGAGTGAACTTCAAGTAAATACAGTGGAATAACTAGTATTTACTATCTACAATTAGCCTTCATTGCACAGCTCTTCATTCTGATTGGTCAATCACATCTGCAGCCAAATATTCTTACTCGTTTTAATCACATTGATAAATAATCGCAACCATTTAATACGTGTAACAACCGGACATGATCGCAAATCAATATTTATCTCTCTGGAATACTCAATTCCGTTACACCTCATACAATAATTTAAACTCAAATCAATATTCTTTGTCAATTAAAATCAATACTCTATATTCTACTTAATTATCTGGTAACAACAGCAGTGTAATAATTGGGAGATGCTTTTTACATTTCTCCGCGCAATACAAAACAGGGAATACTACTGGATAGGGAATTTGGCAGATTAAATATACAGTCTAAATCCTCGAATACGTTCCGCAACGAATGGCAGTTTTGTGCATGAATATAAATACGGTTTATACATCAAAAAGGTGCGATGCTCCAACAGTGGATGGTGACTTATTAGTCGTGATCTGAGCTGCTCCACTTTGCGCAGTCAGTCAGTCAGTCACATGCAAGCGCGTCATGGCCCCGCCTCCAGCTCATTTTACTACGTTCAACGGCGAAGAGCACATGACTGCAGTAACTGTGCTCTGTAACTCCAGTCACGAGGATGGAGTACTATTACACTGACCAGACAGCGAGCTCAAGCACATTTACAGCGCTTACAATATTCCCGCTGACACAAGGACAAAGGACAAACAGCAGCGAGCGTTTCCTCACAGCGTTCACATGTTTTAAGAAGTCTGAAAACGAGTCGTCAACCTTTCAGTGACACGTGACACAAAGTAAACGGAGCGCGATTTGTAAACATGCACAACTGTCTATTTAATTTATGATACACAATTGATACTTTAACTACCAGCATGTGGCAGTTTTTGAATTTGAAATAATAAATTAATGTATTCTCATTAACCTCATCTTTCTCCTAAGTGTATCGTTCCAGCGATTAAGTATCCGTATGTTTCAAAGTAACGTTAGGCTTTTTAAGCGTTATATTGTTGTAACTCCCTATCCTACGCGTATTGTATCTATAAATAAACACTTTGCGGTGCGACAACAGCCTGTTTGACATGACAAGCACGAAAGTGCAAAATGCACAGCGTTTATTTATTAATATCAACAACAGCACACACTGACGCAAAGATCGTTTGACTACCTCTAATTAGCATCAAGCTCGTTTTGTAACAGTTACGCAAACGCTTACAATACATTTCGTCAATTGAGCAAGAGTTCCGATCTCTAAACTATAATGTACAGATATATGTATACATTTTGAATAGGCCTACATCGCTGCGTATCAGTTTCTCAACTTTATAAGTGACATAATGCATTAGGTTTACAGCTTTTTTAACAGCTCATCTAAAAATAAAAATAAAAAAGCAGGCCAGGTATGAATAGAAATTATACAAACACTGATCGTATTTAATAAGTGCATTAATAGTAGTAACATCTGCACCGACGAATAATTACGCAATGCATAGCCTAAAGACTGAGAAAATACACATCTGAAAAACCCCACAGTTTAGCCTACTTGATCTATATATTCTTACTTTTCATCTGCCTCGCAATGAACTCGTACGGAATCAGAGCGCTTTCGATATATATTAAAACTACAAGGGACCAGCAAGCAACTTAAAGTCAAGTTCACCAGAGCACCCACGTGTCACACACACACACACACACACCGGGAAATTGGTGTGATTTTTTGGCAAACTGATGAACACATTTGAACTCATTCTATTCCGCTTGAGAACTTACTAACCTTGCCCTAATCGCTAGCCCTCGAAAGCAGACTTCAAAATAACGATTATCTGTACAATATTCTTCTGTAAGTCACTTTTCGCATATATGCATCATTTCCTGTGAACTCCACGTGAAGCGCAGACGTCAGGGACTCCAGACGCCGGCTGAGACGCTCTGACAGCATCGATGAAATGATGCGAGTATATCGAGCCACAGACAGTAACGTGCAAAAACACACCCGGGGAAAAAACAGCCACGCTTCTGCTCTATCAGAAATGGTGCATGGCTTACCGGGCTGCCGGAGTTTTCAGTCAAGTAATTGAAGACAAATGAAGAGAGCTCCTCGTCTAACAGTGAAGCGCAGTCCGCCATCTTCTAGAGAATGAGATGAGAGGAGCCAGAGAGCGCTGCTATACTCCTCTCCCCGCGTGCAGTGAGGATCTCTAACCGACCGAGGGCAGTGTGCTGAGGTGCCTCAGTGCTTCCCAATCATGGCTGGGTTAAGTAAAACAGCAGAAAAAAGTGAATTATTTGAAGGTGCAGGTGGGTTAAACACAGGTTGGTGGCTGAAGAAGGATGTCGAGACTAGGTGCAGGATGCATGTTCCCAACTGTAACTGAACCTGCTTGTGCTGTCTAGATTACAGTGTCTATGACTCATTTATGATGCTAGTTCATGATGTCTAAAGTCCATGCTTTGTGCAGGTAATAGTGTATGTGGTTGCATCCTTTACTATAGTATCTCCTTGTATGCACAATGCAGTAAACACAACCGAGCATTATTTTCTGGGCATGCTGCTTATGGTGCCCAAAATCTAAACATCAGTCAATATTTATGCTTGGTTGGCCCGTTAACAGAAATACAGTTTGCTCCAAAGACAGCTTTGTTAATCATAGTAAAAACTTTGTATAATTTAAATGTATTATTAATATTTTATTATTTGAGTGCTTGTTTGATTTAACAATCATGTGCATCTTATTAGCCATTATTATATTTAATCAATTATTATATAAGCCTATCAGAATTATATATTATTATTATTATTACTTATTCTATTTTAATTCTACTTTATCTATATTTATCTTCTTTTTTTATTTTTCTACTTTTGACCCTTTATGTTGAGATCCCCTGTAAAGACCTTGTCTCCTAGACAGCCACCAGGGCAAGACCACAGGAACCAGTTGAGTCCTCTGCACAATCCGACTCTGCTGCAGCCTGGAATTGAACTGCTGGTTTCGTCTGGCCAGAGGAGAACTGGCCCCCCGACTTGCCGCTGTCACCTCTGGCTTGCTTAGTTGGGGACACTTATTTTCCAGCGACATCGTCGACTTGATTGCACAGATACTATTTAAACTGAACTGAGCAGGATGATGACATCCATTGTCCTTTTGCATTATTGACACACAATCTGTATTGTTAAAAGTGCTATTTAAATAAAGGTAACTTGACTTGAGGAAAAAATTTAGCTTATCTAAATCTAACCCTAGTATTACAATAATTAAATAAAATAATGATAGATAAAAAGCAGGTGCACTGCTGACTTTAGGCCTGGACCTAGATCAAAATCTAAGCTTGTTATGGTGATAAAGTTTGATATACGAGTAACACATTAAAATCTATGTAAACAATTAGGGTAATTACTCTCTAATCAGCAGATGCATTGATTGGCTGCTCTTGTCAAGCGCAGTTTTCCGACAGTCACTCACAGACTTTCACTATGATGTGGGGATTTGGACTGCTTCAAGTAACCTTAGTACTTTATCATGAATCGAGATGCTTAACTGAAGTCATTCCATTCAGAGTGACATCCCAGAAATCACCAGTTGAGTGTTAGTAAAGAGAAGAGGCAAGTCTGCTAGAAACCATCCTATATTTGATTCACGAAGACAAATCTTATAGATTTTAAATTGTTTGAATGGTGTGCAAATCCAATGCATCTAAATTGACAAGCCCTTGAAGGACCATTACAATTTCTCAGTCGAATCTGAAATTACCCCAAGGTCACATCAGTCTATTGAACTGTGTGCTGCCTACTGGCTATCGACCAAATGCATGCTGTTTGAATGTTTGAGGTCAGAATGAAAGTTTGCCTCTTTAAAAACACACTGTATAAAAAAATCCTATGCATGCCCTTAGATGCTTGATCGATAAACAGATTGCGCTAGTTCTTAAAGCAAAAAAAAGAAATTATAATAAAAAGATACATGTAGAGGGAATTAAAGTGGAACGACAGTTGCATCAAAAACTTCCAGTGACACTCAGAGCTGTTTTTCGAGAGGATCTTCAAGATTGTTACTTAAGCCAACAAGCCCACCTTCCATAAGAGTGTGAAAGGTCGCTGAAGGGATTTGACAGCCCTGAGCGTCTGGTGGGTGTCTCTGACAGCTGTCAGACTGGAGGAGTTTGTTCTATGTTGGAGTTATCAGTCAAGAGAAGAGTCTGTTTCATCAGTCATATCATTTCATTGATTATGCCCTGATGTATGGAGGTCAACAACATTGTGCCTTCAGCTACAGTTGTCCAAGGACAGCAATCAATAGAATTCACACATTGTTTTCCGACATTGAAGCATGCATGATGCTGTTTTTCATGTTTTTGTTTGCTACCACCAGTGGGAGAGCATGTTGCTGGTGTTTGAGTGCATGCGTGTCTCTCACTGTGCTTTATGGCTGGAAGGTGATTTAATGGGGGCTTCTGTGTGAATGGACAGCACTCTGGGAGAAAACAAACCAAAGAGCACACTTACTAATGCACCGAGGACTGTTGCGACATATTGTCATGTAGGAACACTGGGTTCAGTTTCAGAATGAAACTTTCAGAGCCCTGAAGTTTTGAAAATGGCCTATTGGGGTATTGACTTAATACACAATATGTTAATTGTGAAATATATTCGGTCACACTTTAGTTTGGGGACCAGTTCTCACAATTAACTATTAACTGACTTTTGCCTCAACAAACTCCTAATTTGCTGCTTGTTAACAGTTAAGTTTAGGTATGGGTCAGGATTAAGGGATTTAAAATATGCATAATCATGCAGAATAAGGAATTAATAAATGCATTATAAATACTAATACACAGCCAATATGCAAGTAATATGCATGCTAATAAGCAATAATGAGAATTGGACCCTAAACTAAAGTGTTGCCATATATTCTATACTCGTAATTACGACTGCATCTTAGTGTTTAGTGGCCTTTTTATTCCTCATCTCATTATTGTTTACTCGAATTCTCTAAGAATAAATGTAAATGCAACAGAGGAAAACTGCATTGCAGGGATCAGTTCGTCTTTTTTAATCCAAATAAATGCTTTGAAAAACCTTCGATAAGAAAATGCAGGCAATACAGCGTGTAACTTCTGAAGACAACATCAAACACTCTTCATTTTGCCAAGACTGAGCTATTTTAGATGTGTCCATGAAAACATATGGCCAAGTACTTACGCCTTGTATGTGAAGAATGATCATCAGCTGGTCAGATAAGTCACAGCAGACATCCTGCTGAGCTGATGTTGCACTTCAAACTCCACTTGACAGAGTGTTAGAGACAAACAATGCAGTGTTTATTCAGTCCTGTCAATAGATTCAGTAATACTATTAAGTATCAGTTACAGAAGATCCACCATGTATTATATATTATATTATATACTGTTTTTTCTAAATGTTTGTCAAAACTTAAATGACTTGATCATATATAATATAACTTAATATAATACATAACATAATTTGTTTTCTTTTGCTAAATTGGGAATGTGAACACTGCTAAGATTATGCTCTCAGCACCTCAGAAAAGCAAACTACTGGAGCATTTAACTTCAGAAATATGTGACTTCATTATATCCTGAAGGGTGAAGTCTAACTCGCAGAATGACCGAGTCACAATGTGCCACTGTGTATGCAGCAGTTACAAGCAATCTGAACTCAAGGCATAGTTCAAAAAAAGCTGGGTCGTGATTGGAGGAAATGCCCGGGACACAACAGATATGCAAAGCATGCAAGCAGAACACGCTGTGATTGGCCAGAGCTCCTCCTGTCTCGGTGCATAGTAGGAGAAGGAGTGAGTAGAGTAAAGCAGGCTGCATTTAGAGACTCGCTTCCCCAAGCAAACACGTGCCTGCTCGTCACATGACTCCCCTTTTCACTGCTGGTGCCTGACCGTGCATAGTGCTTATGTTTGCTGTGTCAGTTAGATGAAAAGACAAGGATGATTGCACAGGTGAAAGATGAAAAGAAAACTGTCTAATCTTACATAAACACCCAGGAGCAAAGGTGACAAAAAAATTTGACCAGGCAGATGACATTTTTCCATAAATATTCATTTTAAATATATAAGGAGTAAGGACAGCATGTCAATAGCTATGTTTCCATCCACCTATTTTTATGCACATTTTGGATTATCGCATAAAAAAAACGCTGGATGGAAACGCCAAGATGCGCATAAATTCTAAAAATGAGCACAAAAAAACGTATGCGCACAACTGAGTAGGATAAACTATTTATTCGATAAGAAAAAATGCTTATAAACTACGATGGAAACACATTTACTGAATAAATTCCACCATGCGCATTGAAAAAGTCATGTGACTTTGCGCTATGAGACGGGATAAATTGACTAACCAGCGGACCGATCTCGTTCACAGCATCTATGATATATGATAAATGTTGTTTTGGTCGTTCTGAAATGCCTGAGGAAAGTCTGTCATCAAAGTATTTCTGTATAACTACTGTCTTACATGACTGCATTCCCAAACAGCAGGCATCCACCTCTAAAAGCAATGACCGTATTTATTGTGTTATCTGCTCTCTCTGAAGCTCAAGTAATTTATTACATATGACAATTATTAGATTCAGTGGCTTCTCCTAGTTTTCTTAGAGATATTTAGTGCCAGTTTATCAGGAAGTGACGATTTTGTTCTCTTTGACTCGTTGGATGGAAACGGTGCTTTATTCGCAAATGTTTTATGCGATATTCCAGTTTTGCGCATAAGTTAAATTCACATCTTTGGATGGAAACATAGCTAATGTAAAGTGTAAGATACTACCAGTGTGTAGGTGCATGTATGTGGGAGAAATACAGTATATAGAGACCTACAGTATATTGATACAAATACATCTTACAAACCAGTAAAAACATTCTTTTTGCCATGTAGCTTAATTCTGAAAAAATATAAAATAAATATAATCAGATATTCCTGGATATAAATATAGCCTATATTAGAATTAGTATTTATGGCTAAACTATTTTAAAAATAATAGAGCACCCATTAACTGTGCATAGGTGTAGTACCTGAAAAAGCAACAACAAATACCACATGATCTTGTATTTGACTAACCAAACCTTAGTTGAGTGAAATATGTCTGAAATATTGACTTAAAACGATGCAACATCTCTGTTGTGGTGTATACTGATCTTGAGTACACGCACACACACAAAAACCCTCTACTACAGAATACGTTTATACAAATAAATTATTGATCTCTTCCTTAGCAGAATTCACATTCTGTGTTTTAAGTTGAATGGGGCAAAACAAGATGTTTTAGAAATCTGTCTTCTGGGAATAGAAAGCCAAAATGGAAGTTTTGTTCAAGAAGCTTGAATCCTCAGACCAAATGCTTCACTTTTATCTTTGACCTGAACTATCTGGAATTCTCCATTATTCTAGCACATATCAAAACAAGGGGTTGCATTGGACAAAGGATAGAGGCTTTTTCTGTCTGGGGTCTGTGGGCGATTGACCTGCGGGGCCATGTGCATTGGTTTGAGAGTGTCTGAGCCTTAGTCATCACAGCATGTGTGTACACTGCAGCATGGGTGGCATTC